AAATGAGAACTGAGAGAAAGCAATGTCAGTATTATTTAAGATGCTTTAAATGCATACATTATTGATCTCTGTTAGAATTTACTTGAAGAGAGTCGAATTTTAATTGAAGTAAGCAGAATTCTGGTTAATGCAGAATCCAAGTAGTATTCTGAATGAATTGAGTGCCGGTACGTGTCTGAACGCCGGATCACTGTAATTGACGTAAGCAGGATTATGTTTGTTTCGATTTCTCATGATTGAAGTAAGTAGAATTCAAGTGAATGTAATTAGAATTTAGCGTACAGGCCGTAAATTGATATCAAGCAGAATTATCGTTGATATATTACAACGGATCTTCATGGCTTGGTGCGTGAACTGAATACTGATGATTGTAAGCGGGTTTTTCTAACAGTGTATTAACTCTATCTTGAGAAGTTGGCGATTGGAACAAGTCCTTTGGGAAAGTAACAAAATCTTAGAGTTTTGAGTTTGTTTTTTCCTCTTGCTTACCGTTTACTCCATAAACCTTGGTTTGGAATCCGAACTCAGGATCACAGGGCAGATCCTTGTTGGATACAGCAAATGCATTTGTTCTACCAATATAGAAACATATAATATCATCACTTTTTAACCTGTCAACCACCTCACCTTTCAAATTTACAAAATTTTAGTTTTTGAGCAGATCAGATAGTTCCATAGAGAATAGTATATATATTAGATGGGAATTTAATGAATCTCTCGGTATGAATTTTTTCAGTCCCTTTCAGCCTGAAAAGGAGTTCAAAGTGTACAAATCATGTAAATGTTCACAAATTATATGCAGTAGAGTACATTAATACAGTATGTTCCCTAGACTGTTCATTTCAATTTCGAATTTTTTAAACTGTTAAATAAACTTTATAATCAATTAGGTGAATAAAAAACATCATTTGATTTATAGTTATAACGGAAAATCATCGTTTGTAAAGTGGAAGACATAGAGTCTATATGAAATGATCATTGGTAAATTATGAAACCTGCCTTTTTCATAATTTGGTTTTCTTTTAACAATAATTTTAGATTTTCTATGAAATAATATTCCAAGGCCCAAAAGGGTATAAAGCATAAATATGTGAAGTACACCTGCAGTATGGAAACAATACAACGAAATGGCCGTTTTACACATTTTTCTAGTAAATTCCCCTCTAATATATATTCTATTCTCTATGAAGAATTCATAAATAATTAATGCAGAGAAGATATTTTTCAATATTGTTTACATTCTTCTTTGTACATCTTTTAATGCTAAACTCAAGGAAAGTTAAAATTAATTAGAAGTACTGTTCTGTTCTGTACTTTACTTTACTTTACTTTACTGTCTGCAGTTTACTGCACTGTACTCTTATGCACTGTAATGTTCTTTATTGTACTGTACTGTACTGCATTGTACTCATATGCACTGTAATGTTCTGTATTGTACTGTACTTTACTGTACTGTACTGTGCTGTACTGTACTGTACTGTAATGTACTGTATAGTACTGTACTTTACTGTACTGTACTTTACTGGACTTTACTGTACTGTACTGTACTGTACTGTACTGTACTGTACTGTTCTGTTCTGTACTGTACTGTACTGTACTGTACTGTACTGTACTGTACTGTACTGTACTGTACTGTACTGTACTGTTCTGTACTGTACTGTACTGTACTGTACTGTACTGTGCTGTACTGTACTGTACTGTACTGTACTGTACTTTACTGTACTGTACTGTACTATACTGCACAGTGCTGTAGTGCATTGTATTGTTCTGCAGTGTACTTTAATCACTACACTGTACTGCAATATACTTTACTGTATTGAACTGTACTGTACTGTTCTGTACTGCACTGTACTGCACTGTACTGTACTATACTGTACTGTACTGTACTGTACGGTACTATAATGTACTGTACTGTACAGTACTGTACTGTACTGCACTGTACTTTACTATACTGTACTGTACTGTACTATACTGTATCATTTTCTATTTTTTCATTTTAATCTACACAAATCAGAGCCCAAAATTGAAAGTTGGGAGTTTCATGTAACAAAACTCTCCTAAAGGAATTGAGTCTTTGCCACAAACTCTGATTTTATAATCCTTATATCTTTAGAATCCAATGTCGTAAATCTTTGATATTTCAAACTTATATTATTTGATCTAACAAAATTCATAGTTTGAAATATCTAAGGTCTACGTCATTGGAATACAAAGATATAGGATTTAGAAAAGCGGAGTTTGTGGCAAAGACTCAATTCCTTTCCAGCTCTGTAGTGTGATGTAATCTACTGTACTCTGTAATGTACTTCATTGTACTGCACTACGACATTTTACTGTAAGGTATATTAAACTATACTGTACTGTGCATGTAGTGTAAAATATTTTTTCCTTCCTGCCGAATTTAAAATCTGCATATTCTTTGGTAAAACTGGATTCTTCCCATTCTAAAATTACATCCATTTATCAGCACCACACAAAATTAAACAATTCTTCTAACTTAGCAAATATTGTAAAAAAAAATTTAAAATATGTTTTAAACAAGAAAATGTAAGTATAGACGGAGACAATCTAACTAAAGTGTCATAAATGATCTACAAGAGTACCAATTAAAACTTCTTTTTATTTTATTATAAGATTGATTGGACAACTTTAGCCATCGTCTGTAAATTCAAAATCAGCAATTCACAATTAAGCAAAACCGCCAATTTAGTTTATCCATTTTGAGCTTGAAAAACAAGATATTTTTATTCATTATATACAAGTTTGAACTGTACATAATTTATGCCTCTTGTCTTGCTTCATTGAAAATCATGACATAGAGTTTCTTGTTCGAACTTTTAACCTTTAAGAAGAAAAAAAAATTGAATAGCTTGACCTAGAAGAAACGGACCTAAGTGATTTCTGACCTAAAAATGTATAAAATGGGTTAGGTTAGGTTAGGCTTAGTGATTGAAAAGGAGATTCAAATCCATATCATCGTTCAGGGCCTGGGAGTAAAAACTGCTCTCAATTATAACAAGAACAACAAGATAATAAATAAAGATACCATTTAGGTCGGTTTCCTATGGGTCCGTTTCCATAGCATCGTTATTTAAAAGTGTACCTATATTGTAGTATGTGAAGACGACTTTAGCAAGACAGATTGGGAAATCTATGAATGAGAGGTCCCAGGACACTGTGATCACGATGTACGGCTCCGTGGTCGGGGTGGTGGAGGTCGTGGTGTACGGATATATACCTCGCTTGTCCCTTACAGTATACTTGGATATTAAACATGGCACAGTTTTAAATTAAATTTTATATATCACAAAAGCTAACATGTAGTAACAGAAAAGAGTGGAATGAAAGTCTTATTCCTTAATTATTTTAGTTGTGAAATTTTTAAATTTTTTAATTGGCTACCGACTTTTTCTTAAATGTGCTTTTTTTACAAATATCTTTAAATTAAAAAAGTTTTCTAACACTCTTGTTATTCACTGTTATTTTCTACTGTTTAGCTCTGATTTCAGGGTTCGTCTCTGATTGGACGATGAGATAGATAGATAGATAGATGTTACCGTCGATGCTATTTCTATTGGTACTTGAAATGGTCACCAAGCACGTGACTGAACCCTGTACGGATTAAATATTTGAATAAAAGACTTAAATTAAAAAGTTTCTTGTTACCGATTGTTACAAAAAATAAAAAATGTTATTAGGCCTTATTCAACTTTTTAATTTCAACTTTAACATTTTATTTTGATTTACAAAAACTTTGCAACGTGGTTTGCTATTTTTGCATATCTCAAAGGAAAGTTATAAGAGAGTAAAACCACATCCGTTGACATAACTAAAATGTAAAGTGGTTAAAAAAAATAAAATGTGATTATTAAATTTCAAATTTACCGAATATAATTCAAAACTCTGCAACAGTCAAAACAACATTTATGATTTTGTTATTTTCGCCTAGAACCATAGAACTGTAAAACTGAACTTGAAACTTTAGGATATATATCAAGGAAACTGGGTTTCGTCTAGAACAATAAAACTGAATTTGAAACTTTAGATATCAAGGAAACTGGGTTTCGTCTAGAACAATAAAACTGAATTTGAAACTTTAGGATATCAAGGAAACTGGATTTCGTCTGGATCTAGAAGACTGAACTTGAAACTTTAGATATCAAGAAAACTGGGGTTCGTCTAGAACTATAAAACTGAATTTGAAACTTTTGATATCAAGAAAACTGGGTTTCGTCTAGAACTATAAGACTGAACTTAAAACATTAGATATCAAAGGAAACTAAGTTCCGTGCTTTGGGACTGGGGATAGAAACTGTTGATTTTGTCTTAAATAAAGATTTATCATTTTCATAATTCATTCTTTAAATGTTTTGGAAATAGAGTAAGCAAGTTTTTTTTAAAACGATAAATCAAATAAATTCATAAATTAATCCAAGATCTCGTTAATTGATTCATAGAAAACCAAATCATAAAAGTTGTTTCATTGTATTGATATATATGGGATATACTGTATATCTAGTTTACCTGACTATTCTAGATCTAGGCTGTCCAAACTTCTCATAGATGAGAGGAGAACGGAGAAACTGGTTTTACAAAATATAACTTTACAGTAGTATAGGTGCATTTATACCTAGTACACATTACTCTCGCTAGGAGGGGAAGATTTATTTGGTGTACTGACCCGTTTTACCGTATATAGGCTGTATGATGTACACTGCATGTACGCAACTTGCTTTTGTTGTCTGAAAGTCGTGCTGGTATTTTAAATAAACCGAAGTTTTCAGTGACAATGGATGTTACTTTCAGAGATGGAATTTAAAGAATTTGAGCCGCGGATTAAATCTGCCAAAACCCGGTTTAAATTAAGCGGCGGCTTAAATCTTGAAACATTTGATACAATTTTAAGTGGATCCAACCATATTTACGCCGCGGCTTAAATATAAACCACCGCTCAAATTCTTTAAATTCGGCCACTGGTAAACTAAAATTCCTGAATTTGCCATATTACACTTTTTGTTGGGCTTGATGTTTTAAAAATTTAAGCACCTAAGGTGGTTTACGACATATTTTGAATGCGAGGTTAAACAGTTACTAAAACCTTCACGATGCACACAAGATGCACTTTTATATTTCCTAATCATTCAAAATATTACTTTAAGAATTTTTTTAAATTGTAAACGATAAAAAACGTTTGAATCTTGGAGATCTAATCTTAATTTTAACTTTATTTTAAAACTATTTTAAAGACCAATATATCAGCGAAAAATGAAGTGTAGCTTATCTAAAAATGGTATGGTTTGTACTAAAATTCATAAGATGAAGCTCTTCTTTTATTATACTCAAGTTCTATCATGATTTTCAGATTGTTTTCTTGCAAAATAAATGCGGGCGTGTTTTTGACACGTGTTTCTGATAAATGCAAGTTTGAGATAGATTTGAAATTTGGAATACCATTTTTCTGGGAAAATTCAATAAAGTTAAAATAATCTGATAGAATTTAATTATCTTTTAAATATTTTTAGAACTTTTAGTTTTCAGCTTGTATTTCAATTTTTGAATCTTTATCAATCATTACTGGCAGGTCTCTAGGTCTCTAGCTTGTTACCAATTTTTAAAAAACTTTTTTAGAAACTGAATTCTTACATCTAACTCAATTTGTATAATCCCTATATCTTTGCAAATCTTTGATATTTCAAGCTTTGACTTTTTCAATTAGCAGAGTTGACAGAACTTTTAAAGGTCGTAGTCTGCAACACCAGGTTGCACACATTTAAGTATTAAAATATTAGAGTTTGAGACAAGTGTCATGTGCAGTCACCCTGAGATCCCTCCAAAACCCTGGGATCTCTCTAGAGCATAGGTGTTATTATTTGTTGATATCTTTTCAACAATTCAAGTTCATGCTATTTTCCTTTTCAAGGATCAAAGTTTAAAGAATCAATAAGCCTTTGTCAACTCCAGGTTATACAATCCAGTAAAACTAGTGAAACTAGTAAACCTTGAAAACTTTTGATTTTTAAAGATTTTACATGTTTATTGGACTCGGAATTTCTATACGAGATATTTCTAATCCAGAGACTAAACTCTAGTAACATCCTATGCATACAAACTCAGTGCCCCCACGGTAACCGCCAAAAAAGTTCTTTGAAATAAAGTCCTAAATTTTGGTACTTAAAAAGTCCTGTGGAAAAAAGTTCTTGAAATAAAGTCCTAAATTTTGGCACTTAAAAAGTCCTGTGGAAAAAAGTTCTTTGAAATAAAGTCCTAAATTTTGGCACTTAAAAAGTCCTGTGGAAAAAAGTTCTTGAAATAAAAAGTCCCTAGAAATAATCCACCATTTTAAAACTTTATTTTCTAGAACTTTTTTTCATGTTCTATTTATTTGACAGAACAGTTTGAACATAACCTAATTGACCTTCTAGTTTGAAATATCCAAGATCTACGACATTTGGTTGCGATGTAGGGATTATAAAATTCATTTGAGAATACACCGTAAATCCGAAAAAAGAGAATAAAGAAAGTATTCTAAGAAATGATGGCTGTGTCCAAGGATTATATATATCCCGCTAGGGAACCCGACTAGACTCACTAGACTCATTAAAAACAGATTACAAAGTTTGGACCTCTGAGAAACAAATTTGCATTAAACAAAAAACAATAAAAAAGAAGTTAAGAATTTCCTTTGGAGTATAATCCAATGTAAAGTTTACAGAATCAGAATACATCGGAAACTTTTTTCCAGTTCCATGGAACTCTTCATATGCTGCAACCCTGCAATTCAAGGAGTATTAGAGGTCAGGTGTATTCAGGGAGTATTTTAGAGCTAAGGTCTATTCAAGGAGTATCATAGCTAAGGTGTATTCAGGGAGTATTTTAGAGCTAAGGTGTATTTAAGGAGTATTAGAGCTAAGGTGTATTCAGGGAGTATTTTAGAGCTAAGGTGTATTCAGGGAGAGTGAGAGCTATGGTGTATTCAGGGAGTATTAGAGCTATGGTGTATTCAGGGAGTATTTTAGAGCTAAGGTCTATTCAAGGAGTATTATAGCTAAGGTGTATTCAGGGAGTATTAGAGCTAAGGTGTATTCAGGGATTATCATAGCTAAGGTGTATTCAGGGAGTATTTTAGAGCTAAGGTGTATTTAAGGAGTATCAGAGCTAAGGTGTATTCAGGGAGTATTTTAGAGCTAAGGTCTATTCAAGGAGTATTAGAGCTAAGGTGTATTCAGGGAGTATTTTAGAGCTAAAGTGTTTTTAAGAAGTATTAGAGCTAAGGTTTATTCAAGGAGTATTAGAGCTATGGCGTATTCAAGGATTATAACTATGGAGACTACCACCCTAGGCAGATTTAGTTATATTATAAAGTATTAGACAATGAGAGGGGATAAAAATAATATATAATATTAGCTAGTTTAAAGTCCACTGAAAAGCATATTGGATTTAATGGTGAAGTGGTTCATCAAATTGTTTTTAACTCTTACAACTTGAAAAAAAGCCTTCCGAATCTGTTGGAGGCTTTATGTACATTAAAAGTAAGTATAAAATTTGACGCATGTGTTTATTAACAATTCATAAAATATTTGTCTAACAATATTTTCAACTGAATGTATATGAAACATTACACTATTTAATCCTAATTCTGAATAATAGTACACTTTCCATGCACGGGTCTTAACTCCTTAAAGGGACTGTAGGAATAATTTTAAGTACACCTCCTTAATTTTCTTGCTGAAAAATTATTATGTGTTTGCGGATTTATACTGCACTATACAATAAATAAACAGCAATTATCATGTCAAAAGAAAGAACTAGGAAAACGACAACATCTTCCTTCTTGTTCCCCGAGATAAAAACATTGTGAATCAGACATGTCATTTTTAACTTCACAGTTTTAAATTACGCCTATTTACACTTTACAGTTTTAACACGATTGAAAAAAAATCAATATTGCCTTTTTAAAAGATTCTACATTTCCTGCAATGCGCCAAAAGAGTTCTAATATTATTCCGTCGCTCTAACTCTTTTCACTGCTAATATTCATATTCTTGGTTGGAATAAATTTCCGTATATATCATTGATATGATATATGTATCATTGATATAAAATATGTATCTTCATATATAATTTACCGCACTGAAAGGATTCAAACTTTGCTGGAATAAATCAAACAGGGAAATAACTCCTGTCTGAGAAGGTGATTTAAAAGCTGTCGGCTTTGATTTTTAAGAAGTAATTGGCAAAATTCTGATCGATTTATGCTTGAGAGCTTGAGAGCTTCAAACTACAACTTGAACTATAGCGTCTAAAGTTAGACCTGGTGAGTTTTGGCAAAGTTATTTACTGGTTTCTAAATAAGACTTAATTAACTCTTAACAAAATTAGTCATAGCTCTCTAGGCTTAATTCTTTTCTTTGGAATAATTGTTTAACCCGCGTCCTCACAAAATCAATATAAAATTTTATTAAATACAAGCTGAAGTGTTCGGTGTTGCTTGTGGAATTAAAAGAAATCCAATTTTGAAAATAAGATTTGATTTTGCCAGCTTTAGCTAATATATATATATATACTTTCATACAAATATATATGTATACATGACTATGTGCGAAGAACTTTATTATTTAAATTAATTTATCAATCTTTGTCAACAGTTGTAATTAATTAGGTTTGAAAATAAAAAAACTGTTTTGGGAAAAAAACCTAAAATAAAGGAATTGAGTTTTTGCCACAACATCAAATTTTCTAATTTCTATATCTCTGCACCCAGTGTGTATAAACCGTTGATATTTTAAACTTAGATTATTTGACCTAATAGAATTAATAGTTTGAAATATCTAAGGTCTACGACATTGGGTCGGCAAGATGTAGGGATAAGAATATTTAAGTTTGTGGCAAAAACTCAGTTCCTTTAAAGAAGGTTTAAAATAGAAAATATAATTTCTGAGTAAAAAGAAATATTTTATGAATAACTTTACGAAAATACGAATGCCAGGAATCATTCTCTTGGTTTGCCAAATCTTCTAAAATGCATAAAAGTCAATTTTACTTGTTTGCTTGTTAATTTTACCTGAAAGTGTACAATGTACAGGGAACAACAGTTATTTCTGTTCCTCTTTCATGCCGAAAAACTCTGCAAAATAAATTTTAAAAACTACTTCACAACTGAAATATTTACAGTATGACAAAAACTCTTAAATAATTTCGAAATAAAAAATGCATTTAAAAATTAAACTTTATACAATCTTTGTGACCGTACTTGACGGGGAAAAGATTATATTTTGGTAAAAATTGTATCTTATTTGTATTTAAATATAATTTTCTCTTTACCTAAAATATTGTACACCGGACCCTGTCCAAGCAACAAAACAAAAGATAAAAAGGTCTCATAGATTTTGACAATATTTAAAGAAGATGAGAACACAGGAACCCATGGAATATGCTCGGTAGAACCACGGTAATGTTCTTTTAGCTTAGTTTGATAAATCCATCTATATATAAATTTGGCTTGTCTGTCTGTTTGGGTGTCTGTCTGTCTGTCTGTCTGTTTGTATCCAATAAACGTCAAAACGGCTGAACCGATCGGGCCCAATTTTTTTGTGGGACATCTAGGGACCCCAGGGAAGGTTTATGAATGATCAAAATTTCAAATATTTGTCTCCATCAAAATTCGATCGTCATTAAATTTTTGAAAATTTTGAAAATCCACGAAATTTTTTTTGAAAATCCGCGAATTATTTTTGTTTTGTTTTACGATGTACACAAAGAGAACATGTTCACAATTAATTTAGAAGATGGGCGCGAAGCGCCCTCTAAGGCTAGTAGTGAATATTTTTGTTGATATTTTTGGAATAACTCCCGACATTGCCGGGTTTCCAAAGCTTGTACGTAAAACAAATTTAAAAAAAGGCAGATTTTTAGTTTTTGATAAAAAATCATGAAAACCGGTGTTTTCCAATCCTAAATAGGTTCAACCAAATTAGATTTGTACATTCTGTGAAAGTGCATTTTCAATTATCTAAATGCATCAACATCTAACAAATCTATTGCTATTAGGAAGTAAACAATATAATCAGTTCTCTGAGCTGCAGTACGATAAAAGGTTGGGAGGTATGGGGTGGCATGGGAGTGGGGGGGGGGGGAAGGAGAGAAAGGCGGTGGAAGGAGAAACATTGCAAAAATTTTAGTTTCTATTAGTTTGCGTTAATTACATTATGAATTAATTTTCTCTTATGGTCGGAGATATTAACCAAAACAATTTATTAACATCTTGTATCAGAGTAAAATTTTTGCATACCGTAATAAAAGAAAACTTAACGAAAATACAATTTTGAAATGCGTTAGACATTGCAGGCTTTTAAAAGTCCAAACCCCTTGAATGTATAAAAACTGTCCTCAAAACCTTGAATGTATAAAAACCTTGAATGTATAAAAACGGTCCTCAAAACCTTGAATGCATAAAAACCTTGAATGTATAAAAACGGTCCTCAAAACGTTGAATGTATAAAAACGGTCCTCAAACCCTTGAATGTATAAAAACTGTCCTCAAAACCTTGAATGTATAAAAACCTTGAATGTATAAAGACGGTCCTCAAAACGTTGAATGTATAAAAACGGTCCTCTAACCCTTTAATGTATAAAAACGGACCTCAAAACCTTGAATTTATAAAAACCTTGAATGTAAAAAAACGGGCTGCAAACCCTTGAATATATAAAAACGGACCTCAAAACGTTGAATGTATAAAAACGGGCCGCAAATCCTTGACTCTATAAAAACATTGAATATATAAAAACGGGCCTCAAAACGTTGAATGTATAAAAACGGGCCGCAAATCCTTGAATGTATAAAAACCTTGAATGTATAAAAACGGTCCTCAAAACGTTGAAGTTTAAAAACGGACCTCAAACCCTTGAATCTATAAAAACATTGAATATATAAAAACGGTCCTCAAAACCTTGAATGTATAAAAGCGGACCTCAAAACCTTGAATGTATAAAAACCTTGAATGTAAAAAAACGGGCTGCAAACCCTCGAATATATAAAAAGGGCCTCAACTCAAAACGTTAAATGTATAAAAACGGGCCGCAAACCCTTGAATGCATAAAAACGGGCCTCAAACCCTTAAATGTATAAAACGGACCTCAAACGTTGAATGTATAAAAACGGGTCTCAAAACGTTGAATGTATAAGTACGGGCCTCAAAACGTTGAATGTATAAAAACGGGCCTCATAACGTTTAATGTATAAAAACGGGCCTCAAAACGTTGAATGTAAAAAAACGGGCCGCAAACCCTTGAATGTATAAAAACGGGCCTCATAACATTTAATATATAAAAACGGGCCTCAAAACACGCGATATCCATCGACATTAAGAAGAGGTTGGTGGTGGTGAACAGTGTCACACTGGTTTATGTTCTAAGAAAGCTTCAAGGGTTAACCCTATAAACACTAGGGGGTGTGAATATATGAAAAGCCTGGATAAGGGCCTTAGAATTAAGAAAAAGAGGTGCAATTCACAGTCACAATTTTTTAAGATCAACTCATTAAAAAACCATAGACTTCAAACTTTAATGGTTAGGTCAAGTGCCAGAAAGACTTTAAATAATCGCAAAAATATGTTTTTTTCACAAGTATCAAAATGTGGAGTCCTGGTTTTTTCAATATTTTTTAATGGCTTTTTAAAAATACAGATTGTAGATATGTAGCAAAAATAATAAAAAGGTATCTTCCAATTTTAAACTTTTTTAATAAATTTACCGGCTTTCGACCATCCGGTAACCCTGTACCAGACAAAATACAAAAATCCGTTCAATTAATATTTCTTTTATTTTTATTTTTTATGACCCCCGCCCCCGGGATCTTTTAAGAGTTAACTTTAAAAGCTAAGAGCTAACCCTGGTGAACAATTCCTCATAAAGGGACTGTAAGCGTAATTTAAAGTGAACCTCCCTGTAAAGATGGGAATGCCTGAGTTTGTTATTAATGAGTAGAAGTCACTTAATTGTAGAAAAACCTTTATTGAAAATACTTGCAGCTTTCAAAGTTTTTTACATTAATATTTAATTTATTATACTTGATCATACAAAGGTTCCAAGAGTAAATGTTGTGAATCGGGTATTGCCATATTTCCATGGAAGGTCACTTGAAATTACACTTACAGTCCCTTTAATGCTATTAAAGTTTATTACCGTGGTGAAGTGACTTTTTCTATCCCGTCCTTGTCTGATTTTGTATACTCTACTCTGCAGTCAGAAACTTTAACAGTCATTACAAACTTGAATTTAATAATAATTCTTATATCTTTGCAGAACAATATTGTAGACCTTAGATATTTCAAAATATGCATTCTTTTAGATCAAATAATTTAAGTTTAAAATATGAAAGATTTACACCATTAGATTGCAAAGATATACGAATTCGAAAATTTGAGTTTGTGACAAAGACTTAATTCCATTTGTCTACAAATCAGAGTGATCCAAAGGTTTCAAACTCTTCCTTAACATTTGATGAGAATTCAGCTAATTTCTTCTTGAAAACTGTAGTTCAAAAATACTAGGGCTACACAAAATGATTAGTTAGGTAAAATCAAAGGTCAAGACGTTGCGTCACTTTAAAGTCTACTTTTTAATAAAAACTTTGCTTAGATTTCCAAATTTTGCAATCATAAAAGGTTTTAATAACTAAAGCTTATTTGTATATTGCAGTAGTATACAGGGCATATTTCTTTGCACTTGCATTACATTTTTAGTAGAATACATCACCAAGCAGAAACTCCGAACTGAAACTTAAACAAAAACAAAAAAAATATTTTACCAATTTTTGAGTAAATAATGTTAATCAAGTGCCACTGGCACTATATATAGTGAAAGACATAGATTTACTCTGAAAGTGTCATCAAACTTTTAGACAACCCTGCCCTGTGGGTTTAACTCAACAATAATATATATATATGCATTTTTGTAGCTCAATGCATTGCATATACATTTAAAATAAAATGGAACACCCTTGTTTCTAATGTTTAAAAGGATAATTGGCAAATACTGTTAATTTTTGCGTGCATAGCTTGGCTTGCAGTGACTGCATATTGTATTTTGAAAAAATAAACTCAATCAGTTTCTAAATTCCTGAAGAAATCTACACATTTCCGGTTGTGAACTTTTCCAAACTGAATCCAAACCTGAAAAATTTAAGGAAATAATATTGATATTATAGATCAGATTTGGACTAGTTTCTCTCTCTTTAAACTTTTTTAAAAAATTAGCCTGATAATGTTACTGTCGAAATAATGAAAAATTAAAATTGTTGCAGAAACCCCGTTTCTTTATTTCATAGATTTTAACATCTTTCTTGAATTGGCCTTTTTCAATAAACTAGGAAACAAAAAACACAGTTATACTATTTCTACCTCAGAATCTTATTATATCTTGTACCATATATATATCTTATAAAAATGGAAAAACTAAATTGATAATAAAATGTTTTTAACTTTCAAACTTAGTAAAGTCTCTCTTTCTTTCACGACATTTAAGAATCTGATGATATTTCATGTTTTTTTGTTAAAACATGGCACGAAAATTATGGATAAAAAATAAAAGTTCTTATAAAAAGGTTTAGGGTCTAAAAATACACAGAGTTTTTACTATTTAGTGATAATCCAGCTACATAACTTAATGTTTTCAATTTGGAAGGGGGGCGACCCAAAACTCCCCCCCCCCCGAATTGTTATGCTTCAATAAGTTTTTAAAATTGTAATTGTTGAATACGTTGTTTGCAAGCTGTTTTATATTTATGAAATACTAATATTTTAATTTCTAAAAGTCGCAGACTTAAAATATTCACATTTAAAAAAAAAGACGTTCCAGCTAGCATAAACTTTTAAGAGATTTTCGCACTGAGTTCTCTGTCCTCGATAAAGCCAATGGTTTAAGGTGTCCTCTTGTTAATCAGTCTAAACCCTCTTTAAATGGAAATATGCTGACAGCTCCTTCTAAGGAAACATATTTGCACTAAAACTGAAGAGTTGTGTTTATTTATAATTTGTAAAACTTGATGTTTTTAATAACTTAAAGCATACGTGCACAATTTTCATTAAACTCTAAATTTATTGAGATATTTGATAATGATCATGCACAGTTGTAGTTGCATTCTTTAAATTGAGAAAATATTGAATAAAAAACTTTTTCAGAATATTGTCTTTCTATGAATATTATATACAAAGAACACGGATGAGACCTCTTATAACTTTCATGCTCTGCGTCTTGAGAACTAAAATTGAAACTGTAGAAAGAATTCTATTATTTACCAAATTAATTAAAAAATAAAGAAAGTAATCAAGAAATACATTTTCATGATAACATTTAAGATTTATGAAAAATAAATAAACCAATTTGAAACATGATTTTGATTGTAAAATAACAACTACATAGTCACATATCTTTAAATAAAAGAGATGCTTCACGAAATTAAATAGAGGATCAATCCTACTCTACCTTTGATCCTACTCTATCTATGATCGATGTTAGGTACTTTCCCAAAGGCATTTTCCCAAGCGGCAATTTCCAAAGGGTATTTTTCTAACTTCTTACCAAATCTTTGCTCCTACCCTAGTAATGATCCTACGCTATCTTTGATCCTTCCCTTTCTGTAATCCTACCCTTTCTATGATCCTACCCTAGTTATGATCCTACCCTATCTATTATCCTACCCTAGTTATGATTTTACCCCATCTATGATCCCACCCTATATATGATCCTACCCTATATATGATCCTACCCTATCTACGACCCTACGCTATATATGATCCTTTCCTATCTGTAATCCTACCCTTTATATGATCCTACCCTAGTTATGATCCTACCCTAGTTATGATCCTACCCTAGTTATGATCCTACCCTATCTATGATCCTACCCTATCTATGATCCTTCGCTATATATTATCCTACCCTATGTATAATCCTACCCTATCTATGATCCTACGCTATATATGATCCTTCCCTATCTATGATCCTACCCTAGTTATGATCCTACCCTATCTATGATCCTACCCTAGTAATGATACTACCCTATCTGTGATCCTACCCAATACATGATCCTACGCTATGTATGATTCTTTCCTATCTGTAATCCTACCATATCTATGATCCTACCCTATCTATGATCCTACCCTATCTATGATCCAACCCTATCTATGATCCTTCCCTATCTATGATCCTACCCTATTTATGATCCTACCCTATCTATGATCCTACCCTATCTATTATCCTACCCTATCTATGATTCTACCCTATCTATGATCCAGCCCTATCTATGATCATATCCTATAACATATCTATGATCTATGATCCTACCCTATCTGGTATTGTATTTCCGAACTCGTCAAGTACAGGTTGGAGTAAAGGTGGAGACAGGAACCAGAATGGAGTTTGGAACGGACAAGCTCCATGTACACCTTGAAGCACTGAAAATATTAAATGTATACCTTGGATCACTGAAAATATTAGATATAAAACTCCATGTACACCTTGGAGCACTGATAATATTAGATATTAAGCTCCATGTACACCTTGGAGTTCTGAAAAGAATTAAATATAGCGCTCCATGTACAGCGTACACCTTGGAACACAGAACATAAAAAATATAGAGCTCCATGCACACTTTGGAGCACTGAAAAAATAAATATGGTTCATGTTCCATTTAAAAGAGAAGTAGACATAATTTTTCAAAAGCAATTTTTACAGAAATATGACCAAAATTTAGACCAAACCCAGAAAGTAAACCAAGTAGACAACTAGTCTGAAAAAAGGACAAACTTAGGCCAATTTCTTGTTTAACTTTTATGCAGAAATGCGCTAGATGCCATATAAGCCACTGTCACAGATTGTCAGTTGTCAAATTGAAAAAGGAGAACTGTCTTTAAGTAATTTTCGAATTATGATTACTTCGATATCCATATATACTTCAATACTTTTATTTCTTCCTATATCACATATTTAAAGAATAAATTTATACCTTTGGATTAAATTTGGAGCATTATCAATAAACAGTTATTAACGAGTTTAAAAAAATGTTATATTCACCTAAGCAAAAAGAAATAGCCGTTTTAAGAAATTGCTTCATAGTTTTAAAATTTTCCTATAAAATGTAAATCATTTATTTTAGCTTGGAACGTTGCACAAATTATTCATCAAACTTGGTTTTTAATTTTATAGAACCACGGTTTAAATTAAAGTTATCTTTCTAGTTATTTAATTTTAGATTTTTTTTTGAGAAACAACATCTCAAAAATATTAAAAAAGAGGAGCTAAATACGAAAATAACTAAACCAAATTAATGAAAAGCAATTTTTGTATGGGTATAGATAGAGATTATTACCACATTTACTTAAATACAATGATTATTTATAAAAATATATTATAGCGCTTCCATTTTAACAAATAAATAAAACTAATTAAAACCACATAAGGTTCAAACATTGTTAACAATTAAATAAAAACAATTTATTACTCGGATCCTAAATTAAACTGACTATTATAGAATAGTTTTGACGTCGCATTGTTTGATCTTGATCTAGATCTTGATAAATGACTAGGCCTATTTAATCTGAAATTGCATTCTGCATTCTCGATTTTTACATTTGCGTAGTTTTCAAATCGTCATCAAATGAATTCATTTACAAAAACTCTTATTTTCTAATCCCTATATCTTTGCAACCCAATTTGGTTTGAAATATCAAAGGTTTATATCTCCATGTGGGAAACTTACAGGGATAAGAAAATTTGAGTTTATGGCAAAAATTCAGTTCCTTTTCTTAATGTTTAATACAATAAATTTAGTTTCAATGTAAATAATTAATAAAAAAATGTGTAATTACAAAAAAGACACATAAAACTGTCAAGAAAATAATATGTACCATTTAAATCAGCTTTTCTGTTCATATTTATTTGATGTCCCGTTGATGTTCCATTAATGTCCAGTTGTTTTACACTAATGTCCCGTTATAAATGTGCCATTGATGTCCCATTGATGTTGAGTAAATGTTCTGAAAATGTTCCGTTGATGTCCCATTGATGTTCCGTTGATGTCCCATTGATGTTCCTTTAATAATTTCGGTAAAGGAGGTGGGGTGGGGGGGGGAGCATGCACTTCAAGTATGTATAAAAAATGTAAAATATCCAGAATTCTATAAAAAGTTTAATGTATAAACTTAAAGATATATTTCCCGGGAATATTTCAAGAAATATTATTATTTCAAAATGAAGGAAGACGGGGGATATATGGTATTAAACTCTGATCCTATATTTATGTAATTATAGCAATGTATTATAGCAATTATGTATGTACCATGTAAGCACCGGGTCTATGTACCATGTCTGTGTAAAATGTATGTACCATGTAACACCGGGTCTATGTAGCATGTCTGTGTAAAATGTATGTACCATGTATGCAGCGTATCTATGTATCATGTCTGTGTAAAATGTATGTACCTGTAGCATTTTCTGTTGTAATGATTAGTACGATCTTTATTATCCATGTTATTAATATATCTTATCTATTTCAATGTGACCCTGACCGGCCAATCCGGTCAGTTTGATTTACCTGTATATAAATAAATTAGTACTACATGAAACGTTGTTTTATACGGACGTATACAGAGCCTTGAGTTTTGGCTAGAGATAGTGAGACTTGAGTTTTCGCTAGAGATAGAGTCAGTGAGACTATAATTAGACTTTGAGTAGAGTAATCTCGGGACCTAGATTTATTACATACCATGTAAGCAACGTGTCTATGCACCATGTCTGTGTAAAATATATGTACCATGTAAGCACCTTGTCTATGTACCATGTAAGCACCGTGTCTATGTACCATGTCTGTGTAAAATGTATGTACCATGTAAGCACCGTGTCTATGTACCATGTCTGTGTAAAATATATGTACCATGTAAGCACCTTGTCTATGTACCATGTAAGTCTATGTACCATGTCTGTGTAAAATGTATGTACCATGTAAGCACCGTGTCTATGTACCATGTCTGTGTAAAATGTATGTTCCATGTAAGCACCGTATACGTCTTTGTACCAAGTCTGTGTAAAATGTATGTACCGTGTAAGCACCGTGTATGTGTTCAATGTCTGTGTAAAATGTATGTACCATGTAAGCACCGGGTCTATGTACCATGTCTGAGTAAAATGTATGTTCCATGTAATTTTAAATTACCTTTATTTTTGGAGGGACATACTCGAGTTACCTTATAAAACTTAAGATGATCAAAAATGTGGAAAAAGGTCGTTTTTTACCTTGAAAATTGTTAAATTTTCGAAATATACTTTTGTAGAGATATTATTTTATTCGAGTCACTTTTGTAGAGATATCCTTTTATTCGAGTTACTTTTTTAGAGATATCATCCTATTCGAGTCAATTTTTTAAAGATATCATCCTATTCGAGTCACTTTTTTAAAGATATTATCCTATTCGAGTCACTTTTGTAGAGATATCATCCTATTCGAGTCGCTTATTCAGAGATATCATCCTATTCGAGTCACTTTTGTAGAGATATCGTCTTATTCGAGTCACTTTTGTAGAGATATCATCTTATTCAAACGGGTAAATCGGTCATGCCACTCCACTATTGCATTGTAGGGTAACTTGAAAGTCTATAAAAGATAATTTTTTTCATAATATTTCAATGTAATATAAAGAATCCTGTACACTCGAGTTTCCCACCACTCTATCAATCCGTCATAGTTGACAAAGGTTCAAAGGGTACCAATGTGAATATGGACTTGATACTCGACAAATGGAGGGTTAACAAAACAGTCCCCTATTTTTTCCAAAACTTTGATTAAGAATGTAAATATTTACCCTTCACTGCATGGTCTGTACAGTGCACAAGTGGTGAACTGTTTTTATGACTTTTTTCAAAAGTTTTGAAAGTTTAAATTAGAAAACTGAAGACTATGTTAGAGAGGTATATGTGGGAAAGCTTGGTTGTAAATATCTACAAACTCAAAAGGAAACTTTTTACAAATATTCATTCTTTTTAAAATTTACAAATGAGTTATCTTTCAAAGGAATTGAGTCTTTGTAACAAACTCTGATTTGCTAATACCTATATTTTTTCCACCTGATGGTGTAAACCTTTGATTTTTCAAACTTAGATTTTTTCATCTAACAGAATTCATAGTTTGAAATATCTCTCAGGTCTACGGCATTTGGATTACAAAGATATAGAGATTAGAAAATCATAGTTTGTGACAAAGACTCAATTCCTTTGTTCTTTTTTAATCCTTTTCCCAAAGGAAGAAAGGGCGATCCAAATGTTCTTTTGCTATTTGACTATATATCTGACAAAATTTACTTTAAAATAAAAATTGGACCCTTATAAAAACTGTTTAACTTTTCAGGCAGTTTTCAATTTCTGACTAGAAAATTCTTTTTCTCTTTTCTATTTTACATTTTCTCAAAAACAAAGTAGAGAACCATCTTGATTTTCCTGTTATATCTTGTTCTAAAAAGAGATAGATTCCAAATTTTCGCCATTGTCGTAAAAAACCATAAATAAAATATTACTTTTAGCGTAATTATTGCAACACAAATAAACAAGATAACCAGCACACTCCTGTTTGCCAAGTCCATTAGCGCCTGATCCAATCAGGGTTCAGTCATGTGTTTGATGTCTATTTTGATCCAATAGAAAAAGTATGGCGGTAACATCTATCTTTCTATCTATCTCATTATCCAATTAGAATTATGAACCCTTGAATCGGCGCTATCAGTAAATGGAAATATTTACTTCTACTGAAACTATAATGAGCAAAAGGGGGAATGGAAATCAGTTTATAGTTTAATCTTATTTGTAAAATTTCTGAAAAATTATCATTTTTAATTTAATGATGAAGACATCCTGTTTTTGTTGAATATATTTGTGGGAAATATCCATCAGATATAATCGAATTGAATGTAATTGAAAGCTGCAACAGAGAATATTGATATCAAGTGTTGTACATTAGTGCTGTCTCTTTTAACTTTTACAATACAGTTTAATAACTTTTATTTCTATTTATGAATTTTAAAAAAATATAATTAGATATAATTAAAAATATTTCTGTTCAATTTTTGTTTGTAGGAATTGAGTTTTTGAATTAAGAAAGGAATTAAGTTTGAAATATCAAAGGTTGTCTAGATATAGGGTTTAAAAAACTTTATTTAAAAACGAAGCTTAATTTTAAATCCAAAAAGAATTCATTTAATCCTTTAGACGACAAAAGATGCGGTTAAACGGCTAAATCAATTTCCGAACTCAAAGACAATTCAAATTAAACTTTTTCATCGAAAATTGGTAGCTAACATATTGTCCAAATATTTAAACAATCCCTTTAATTATTACAGGAATTCGTCCAGGGTGGAGGGCTTAATATATTTTCTTTTCAGGGGCAGGGCTCAGCACTGTTGGGGTTAAAATCTCCCTGGAACCATAGATTTTACTGTTCCAGATGCTGAGCCCTCATATGCCCACCCCCTGTGTACGCCCCAGATGTTACATATTACCGAATTATTCAAACAAGCGAAGTATTCTCAGAGAGAAATTGTTCAGATAATTGTATAATATGGCAGCTACCATTATATTCAGAAGATTCTGATATCAAACCAGAGGTAAAAACTTTTCTTAAAGGGACTGTAAGCAGAATTTCAAAGCAAATATGACAATGCCCAATAAACAACGGTAAACCATTTAAGGTTTGTCTGATCAAGTACGAATTAGATATCAATGTTTTTGTTTCTTTAAACTGTTTATTTTCATTAGCGAGTTCTCTGCGAAAGTGACTTACGCATTTCTTGCTAAAAAGAAGCAATTGAGAAATTTACAGAAATAAACACTTTATGGAGGGTCACTTGAAATTACGATTACAGTCCCTTTAAATCTTAAATCTAGTTTCCGTCCCCCTCGAAGGCTTAAACTTTGACACTGAATACATTTTTGATAATTTTCTAATGCCTATGTTGGATTTACAGTTTATATGTGGATATAAACTTTAATCCTTTAATTTAAAAGTGTACACTGTGGATATCAAGTTAAAACAAAACAACAAAGAATTCATCTTCTCAATTTTTTCGAGATTGCCATTTCGTTTTCTTCGTTTTCTATT